AACAGGCTATAATATTGTAAGCTAAATTTAATTTCACATTTGCACTGAAATCGTGTTTTACTGCACTTTGAAATGAATTAGGTATCTATTGAATGAAAGGACAAAAAATGGTTGACCAAGATTGGTTTGGGAATGAGAGAAAGGATATAGAAGGTAAGAGGAGTGGAAATACCTCCTTTTGTTTTAATATCAATAGACTCTCTCTCCTTCAAAATAAGTTGTTGATACACTGAGTTATCCAGACTTTTTCATGAGATGTCAATACCATGGTAACCCCTAAGCTACCTCGCCAAAGCCAACAGACACACACATCTCTCCCACTGCAAACCAGGAAGAACGATGAACCAAACCCCTTGCATACAAATATTGTTTTTAATCTTCAAAAAGGATAGTTTAGACACAATGGAAAATTTTACATGCTATAGTCATTATTATGACAAGAAATAAATCACGAAGCTGAAACCAGTCTTTTCCGAGTGCAAAAAAAAAAAGCCTCAAGAAGAAGGGGGGCAGCTCTGCAGCTGTGTTAACATAACCCACTTCCCTGGCTTTCCCAGCTTTCAGAATCAGAATCTGGTATCCCCCCCCCAACCCTTAGTTTTAAATGTAAGATTACATATAATTTAAGTTTATTCTAGTAGTTAGGGTTTTGAGGAGCAAAGACACAGGCACAAGGGAGACTAATACTTGTTCATTGACGACTGTGTTCTAGGCAGCAGACCAGCTCCATTCCTCAAATAACTTGATTTAATCCTAATCACAACTTCATGATTTAAACCTTATTTGACCCATTTTACAGGCTCCTGAGAATTAGGTACTTGCCCACCACTGTGGTTGGTAACTCTAGGGTACCCAGACATTTGCCATGCTGACCACCATGATCTTATAAAGTGTGAGAAATCTATGAAGACGATACACTGGGGCGCCTGGCCAGTTCAGTCGGTAAAGCATGTGACTCTTGACCTCTGGGTCATGAGTTCGAGTCCTACATTGGGTGTAGAGTTTACTTAAATAAATAAAGTCTTAAAACAAAAAAGACGATGCACTGTCAGCATTATATACTGTCACAGGCCCGCTGCTGAACAGTGGAACAAGCACTTGGAGAACAGAAATGTATGAAAATAAGATGCTGCCTGTGAGATGGTGACACAGAAAAGGAAATTAGGAGAATTCAGTGTGGTCCAAGCATGGAGGAGGCAGAATGAGCTTGGCCTTGGCCTTGAAGAATCAAGAAAGGAAAATGGGGAGGCACCTGACGTGAGGCAGCAGCAGGAGCAAATCATTCTCCCTTGTCACAATGCAGGGAGGGACGGAGAAAACATTCAATTCTTCTGGCAGCAAGAAGGAAGAAGAAAAGCCACAGAATCTCCAGGACGTGGGGACCAAGAGGGTAACGGGAAAGAGTCAACCACCGCTCCAGAGGTTTAAGGTGAGGAGAGTTAAATTTAGAAATGCCATCGTTTGGAGAGGAAGGAGACAGTGTTGAATTTGAAGTGACAACAGGAGAGTGGAAAATGTGTAGAAAATGGGGTGCAGTGGAGAAGAGCCCTACAGGAAAATGAGGTTATAGAAGAATAAGCTAAGAACTGAAATCCAAAGAGCGAAGAGTTGAGAAGTGGGTAAGAGTAGGAAAGAGCCAGAGAAAAGAGCGCTGTATGTCCTGCCTCTGAATAACACATGTCAGAAACACTATCATCAGAGTTAAGTATCAAATAAAATAAGATAGAGAGAAGATGCCAGTGCAGTTTCAAGTGAGAACTTGAAGGCAAAAGAGCAAGGGTTAAGGTGGCAAAGAAAGTCGAAACAACAAGAGCCCTCGGCTGATCTGCCTAGAAAATTCGCCTAGAAAATTCGCCTGAGAAGTTTGCACGAGAGAAATAAAGTGGTACCAAAGTCAAGCGAAGTATCTGGCTCAATTTTAGAGAAGGGGAGAGAATTAAGACTGTCTGAAGTCCTGGGGTAACAGATTAATCCTTCCTGTTACCCAGATCATTCCATTCCCTAAACTTGCTGGTTAACTGTGCTGATGTACTTCCTGAGTAGAAAACTTTTCAGAAACAGAAGCAAAGTTGCAGCAGCCTACAATAGTCATGAGGCTCCAAGCTGATTTCCTGCACACCTACCACAATTCAGAAGTTACCTAGAGCTGGTCCACTTCTCTCATTAAATCCTCCTGGAGAATGTATCTACTTTCAACCCCTATCAGCTTACCACTATGGCCACTGTCACATCTTCGCCTGGTTCTTGACCAGCCTCCTTCGGTAGCCAGGAACGCAACTGGTTCCCTCCAGTCGGAGCCCTGCCCCGTGACCTTAACCACGGTGATCTGAACTTACAGGGTCAAGAGTCTCTCTCTCTGACTTGGGGTGAGGCTGCTTTCTCACTCATTGCCACTTCTTCTAACATATTATGTGAATATTCTACTCCAAACATAGCTTTTTTAAAAATATTTTTTTCTTTCCTCTCCAGTTTCCACAACCCTATAGCATTCTTGCCTTAGACTCATGCATTGTTTGTATGGAACTAGGTCACTACTACAAACATTCTTAGGTATCTTTTCCCATCTTCCTTTTGGAGAGCCCTCTGAAATAACCAAGCCCCCCGGGGTGGGGCGGGGACCCAAGGTTATTTGTTTCAATTGCTGCCCCTCCTGCCATTCATCCCATCGGGTCGATTTGAAATTATACTGCTAAATTTGTAATTCTAAAACATTTTTTTTTCTTTTTTAGACTTCTGAGTTTACACCTATCTTTTCTGAGAAGTTTTGATACCGACTTTTCTAAAAAATCTCTAATTATGTCCACTGGGTTTTTTAGGCTGTAAGGATGAGTCACTTTTCCCATAGGATGAGTCACATCCATGTCACCAACTAGTAGCCTTTATTGGAAACAATTAAGTCCAGAACAGGAATGCCCTTTTTTTCTCCCCCTCTCTCTACATTCTAAGACACAAAATTGTCAGCAAGTCAAAACTGGTACTTAATTAGAGGCTCTGTGGTAAATGGAATGAAGCTTTCAGCTGATACGGCTGTGTGTCCTGCCTCTGCATAACACAGATCAGGAACACTATCTTCAGAGTTATATATCAAACCTGGGGTTTTGCTGATACTAGGAAAGAGTGACACTGCCAAACGCTTATCGCTGCTATTGGTAACAGCAACGAGAATGAAACACATTAAGATAATCCACATACAATAAAGAGACCAGAGAACAAAAAAGGGGTGAATTTGCTAGGAAAAGTGATAAAATGCTCTCCTACTGCATTTGGAATATGATTTGACTCAATAAAAAAAAAAAAAAATGACTGGTTTAATTTTTCGAGTACACATTTACTATACATAGAACATGGCATTATTCTCTTATTTTATGGTTACTGAGTGCTGTCTCCTTGATGTTAAAACTCACCTTACATGATTCAAAACTAGCTGAGGAACTATTTGTTTTTTGAAATCCTCTCTCCTTTCTCTTATACCTCAAGAACTTGAGGGTTAGCTTCATTCTTTCGTTTCGTACAGTTATATTTTTAGCTTCTTAGACTTCACAGCGCTCTATCTACCTGTAATTATGCTGCAAAAGCCTAAGACGCCGGTCAAGACCAGCAGCGGACAAGACAGCAGAAGGCCTATCTGTGGCCTTGAACAGCTGCAAGAGGGCAGGGCGCAGCTGGCCAAGTTCCCTCTGCCTCTGGCCTTGCATGACAAACCCGGAGAGTTAGACTTGCTCTCGTCGCAGTCCCTAGCACCAGACCGCCCTGAAAGCAAAGGGCTGCGGGCAAAGTCTAAGAGGGCTGGTCTAAAGGGGAACCCAGGAAAGGCACAGGGAGGGTGCTAAGAGTGGTGGCCTTAGGAGAACTCTCCAGACCCTAAAGAATACCACCCACCATCCCACCCTTCTCTCTAAAAACAAAACAAAGCAAAACCACCACCACCTCCTTATGGAAGGCCAGATGTTACTTTTAGTTCCAGTTTGGAAATACTGCCCGAGCTCTGAAACATTCTTTTTCTTAAAATAATAAGTAATGAATCTGTATTTTTACCCACGACAGCAGAAATGAGATGCCATTAATCAGATGTTGAGAAATGGGAATATTTTTCAGGGACTAGGGAACATTCTTGAGTGGACATTTTCTTCCACAGTTATGTAAAACTCCTTTTTTTTTGTAAGGGGCCATTACTGTCTTTGGATACATAAAAGATGTTGTTATATGTAGAGGCTTTTATAGCTCAGAGTGATTAGTCTTCACACAACGATCCCTGCACTGTACAGTGCTTCTGGCTCCTTGATTTAAATTAGTGCTTTCTTACTTAGTGAGTTAACATCATTTGCAAAGTAACGTATTTATATTCTGTTCTTCAACAACATTAGCATATAATACATATTTACTCTGGAACTTTATGCACACGCACACACTTCTTCACAAGACTCAGAAAGGGTGGCAGTGAGAAAAGAAATGGGAATTTTGGAAATAAGAATTCCCCAACAGAGGAGGGTGAACAACCCAGACCACAAAGCTGTAGGTGCTAGTGAAGACACACTATTATTTCCTGGCTAACACTGGCTAACATTAAGAGTCTTACACACGTTTAAGGTACAGTTAGATGGTAACTACCTTTCTGAAAAACAGTAACAGCTAAAGTTTCTCTTTTTATAGGATAGACTGGCCCCCCAGAGGGGCTACCGCAAAAAAAAAAAAAAAAAAGCAGTCCTAAAAAGGATCCAGCCATGAGCTTTGCAAAAATTCTCATTTTACTTCTCATATGCCAATAAAGTCAAATTCTACTGAGAAGATGTTCCAATTTATTTTGTTATACGGGCATTCTGCTGATGTTAATGCTGTGTCCGAGGAGGACTTAAAACGTGGAAAGTGTCATTGTGTCGGTAATGAGAGTTCACACTTGTACTAAACGTCTCTTGTAAGACAACTGATAACCCTTCAGAGTATGATAAAGGATAAAAGAACTATCTATCAACTGAAAATGACCAAGAAGAAAAGCTACTCACGGCTGACACAGCTTCACCAGGTCCTGGTCTGTGGTGTTGGGAGGCAGTCCCCGGATATAGAGGTTGGTTTTGCTCAGCTGGTCCCATCCTGAGTTGCTACTGCTGCTGCTGTTGTTATTACTGCTGGTGGTGCTGGGGCTGGGAGGGGCCATGGGGTGGGCCGGGACCAGAGACTGCTGGGAGACAAAGACAGGGAGCATTAGAACACCGGCGGCAGGCTGCGGAGCGCCATTCACAGGCTGTGTGATCTCCACCACACAACAGAGACACAGATCCCCTTAAGCGACGTTCATATATACATTTTCTTTCTTTTTTTTTTTAAAGATTTTATTTATTTATTTGACAGAGATAGAGAGAGAGCACAAGTAGGCAGAGAGGCAGGCAGAGGGAGAGGGAGAAGCAGGCTCTCCACTGAGCAGGGAGCCCGACGAGGGGCTTGATCCCAGGACCCTGGGATCATGACCTGAGCTAAAGGCAGATACTTAACCGACTGAGCCACCCAGGTGCGCCCATATATACATTTTCATTCACACCTTGAAAAAGACCTGCTCATTCTACAGAAAAAGCCCTCTCCTTCAACATGCAATTAATAATGGAAAATTATTCAGTAAAATATTCTCTACGTGCACCTTAAATAGGGCTAAATTTATGTGAGATTAATGTATTCACACCTTTTAAGGACACATCTACTGAGACTCAAAATTAACTTGCATGAAGTTAGGTGATAATATCATCTTACGATACAGTCATTTAGAAATCACGAGACTTTTGAAAAGGTTTTCAGATTCTGAATAACATTTGATTGAAAGTTGCTGATCATTTTATTGAGACTCTTGGGGGGAAAAATAAGATGATTCTTCGAGTGTAACAAAGTTTGAGTTCCAGCACAATGCTCAAAGAAGGCAGACTTCACCTAGTTCTAAGTCTGGCCCACGGCTCCATTGAGACATCTGGATAAGATTCACGGGCATGCTGCCTTTTGCACTGGCCAACCTTGTGAAATTTAACCCCTGTGAGAACAGTGTGGGAGCTGGAAACCTTCCCAGGCCTTGCAGCAAGGAACGTAACTTTTCTAAAGCCTAAACCTAGGGCTCAGTGTGGTTTCGCAGTCGGCAGCCACCTAGGAAGAATGTCTGAAATTGTACTCACACCAGATAATTCTCTGTTAACCGATCGAAAGAAACAAGTTCTGTGCCCTATGCCACACACATGACTTTTGAGGAAGTTAAATGGCTCGGTCTGAGATGGAAGTGAGCACACCCTGAAGTGCCCTCAAAGCAAATGCTCAGCAGTTTCATACCGGGACAGGAATTTTTTTCACCTCGCATCTAAATAATAAATACACTAACCCAAGGACTTCACTTATATTAAGTAACAGTTTGAAAATAAAGTATAAAATTAGTCCCTAGACATAAAAATTTTTTTTTTCAAATCATACAGCTTGATTTTCACAACCACAAACAAAACCATCAGACACATCTAAGACACAGTTCAATTCCACTTTGGAAAGTTCAAAAAGCAGAAGACCCCTTGTACTAAATGCAACCTGCCTTCCTTGCCAGCAATCTCAACTATTCACTATGGATATCTGACTCTGCACCCAGGTTCTGCCATGACCATCCTAACTCCACAGTATCCCCCACCACATTGGGATCCCCACTAATCTACACATGTAACCATTACTTCTTTTCTGTACTATGTTGTTTTTTCTTTTTTAGGTCGCACCGTTCAAAGGCTCCATGATCTCCACCATGGAATAGAAATACAGATGCCCTTAAGGGCCCATCGTGGGGCTCAAACTCACAACTCTGATATCAAGACCTGAGCTGAGACCCAAGAGTCGAATGTTCAACCGAATGAGCCACGGAGGCGCCCCTACTATGTATTTTTTTCTTCTCACTGCCCAGGGTCCTTGCTAAGATTATTGAGTCCAAACACCATTTTATCTCAAGTGATCGTCTCTTAGAAGGAGAGTAGCAGGAAGGGTTAACAACAGTCAGTGTATAAATGAAGACTGAACTTGAACTGGAAATATCTGTATTGCTTAATCCAAGAAAAAAAACTTAACCGAGATCATATCCTATCAAATCTATTTGAGTTATGCCCTTAATAAGCAGTTGAACTCATATCCTTTGGTCTCATCTCTGGTTTTTCTCTAGGGAATAAAGACTCTGCTTTCTAGAAGTAAAAGGAGGAGTAAGCATTGTTCCTTGCTTTGCGCAGGTGGCACCTCAGATCCCCCAGCCATACCACACAAAGGAAGGTCTGTGTTCCTTCTCCAAAATCACTCAATACAACTTGTGCTAGTTGCTCCTTGCAATTAGCCAGGCATCCCCTGTTTGTCATTTCAGTTTAGAACAGAGGTGCTGGAAAGTAACACACACATCTTTCCCCCATCCCAAGCCTCTAATTTACACAAAGAACTTATATCTAGGCAAGGCTGAATTTTTTCTTAAATCCTCTTTGATTAATGTCCAAGAACCTGTCTTTGTCACAAACCACAGTTCCTCATAGTAGGACCCAGTGTGTTCAGTGCGGCTGTTGGGGGATGGAACGGGGTCACCTCCAGGGATAAGCCCTGGAGAAGCCTGAAAGAAGCCATGGACCTGCTTCATCCCCACCTCTCAGTAGCATTAGACCAATGCGAAGCAAATGAACCATCAGAAGGTTTAAAGACTGCATTCCAAGTCTGCATCAGCTCTAACCTCTTCTCTGGGGTGGAAAGTGGAGTGCCAGGTGTGGACCTGCAGGATTAAAAGAAACATTTGGGGGTATGATTTATTGAGAGATTATTTGGACATGAAAGGAGTAGGTTTTTATTTATGTATTTATTTTTGGCAAAAGCAGAACCATGATTTACATCTCAGAATTTACATAGCTGATTTAATATATCTTTGACAGGCCTCTATATTTATTACAGTAATAATTTCTCACTCTGGGAAGTAGGTATGGAGCATATACAGGCTGCCCCTGCTTCCCCTCTACTCTGCCCTACGGGGGAAAAAAGTTTCTCAACATTCTGATCCCAGGTGGGAGACTGGGCTTTCTGAACGTGCCCTGAGGACATTGACTGGCCTCTGGTGAATTCTATACAGAACAAGTTCAAATTAAAATGTTATCCTAATATTAACTATTTCTCAGAACTAGCTGAAGACAGCTTATTCTAGGTTGCCAATTTTCTATTTTCTGCTGCAGAAAATTTTAGATCAAAGATGAGGTTTGTAAAACTCACTGAAATTAACAACTTAAATCCTAATAAAGATTGGACACATGTTTAAAGAAGAAAACTGGGGCGCGCCTGGGTGGCTCAGTCGGTTAAGCGACTGCCTTCGGCTCAGGTCATGATCCTGGAGTCCCGGGATCGAGTCCCGCATCGGGCTCCCTGCTCAG